CGGACTTGATCAGTTTCAGTCGTTCAGCATGCAGGTATAACAAAACTTGATCAAATATAATTAAATAATACAGAAAATGTCTTACGCATCCTTAATGTTAGATCAATGCCGATTGTGTTAGGTCGCATTCAAATAGAACATTCAAAACTAATCGAGCTTCACTCAAAAATTTAGTTAAAATCCAAACACCTATAAATCGAAAACGTTACTATTGAGATCAAGTTTGAAGCAGTAATAGTTTCCTAATTGATGATGTAGCTGACGTAAAGTTAAAAGTCATACACGAGGAGATCTGTTGCTTCACATATTTTAGTGTTCTTTCTCTTCAGATATAAACCTGGCAGGAAGTGCTTTTTAAATTATAAAAATTTGCAAGTTTTGAAATTCAATTCTCAAGATGATTTGATGAGACTGCTAGTTTTTGCTGACCAAAGTAAAAACAAAATTCATGTGTCCAACGCGAAACCTAGACATGTATCGCACATTAGCGTTTCGACTCTTTTCAAGTGTTAACTTCATTTTAAACTAGTCTTTTAGAAGAATTTGATTATATTCCATCCATAATAACCTTCTTATACGAAAATTATATCTGAAGTTCTTTTTTTTTCAGGAGTATTCGTGGTATTTTTGATCGATATTTGGGTTGGTACAGCAGTAAATCATCTGATTTAAATCCTGATCCTCCAAATGTTCGTGCACAAAATCTTATTCGACTCGGTGGTGGGAGTAAAAAAGTATTTGAAAGTGCCCAAGCTGCATATTTAGAACAAAAATTTCAATGGTGCTTAGAATTAACTGAAGCTCTCAGTATTTATCCTGAAGATTTAAATAAATCGGATATCATTCAATTACAGGCTTCAACATTACAAAAGTTAGCTACATTTCAAACATCAGCGAATGGTCGTAATTGGTATTTAACAAAATCATTGGAAATTCAAGGTTTAATTGAAATTAAACCATCGTCTATTCAAATAACTCAGACAATATTAAAGACTTCATTGAAAAATATATTTATGTTATTATCTGTAAATCTAAATTATCATAAAGCTAATGATATTAATCGGTTGGTTTTATTTCATTTTCAAGATACGACTGAAAAATTTAGTATTCATATTCGTAATGAAATAGCTGATGTTCAATCTCAATGGCCTGAAAATATTCAATCAAATGCTATTGATATGATTATTGAAATGACAAAAGAAGAAATTTGGAAGGAAGTGATTGCAAATATAAAAAATCCTTTGACGTCCCTTGCAAATAACGAAATCATACTTAAAGATGGAAATGGAGAAATAAATCCAGAACTGTCAGTTCAATTTCTTACGTTCTTATCTATGTTTACATCCGAATAATTTTCTTATTAGCTCTGCACGTTGGATGATGACAATTTCCTTTTCCTATTATATTGAAATAAATTTTGAAATAAAAAGAATGCGAGAAATCTCTGTAACAATACATCATCCTCAAAATGATAAATTCTCGTTGCCCATGAAATTTACTCGAGGTCTGAATGTATTCGAAACCAAGTTATTTCGTGCATTCATAAAGCATCTATGCGTATGAATCTTGCTGCATCTCAGCGCATATGATATTTCATTTTTAGTACCAGCCAACCCGTTTGTCTTGTTTCTCAGCTTCTATCTACGATAGACTTTGTGAATTATACATTGTTTTGGAAGTGATCATTAGAAAGCAATTTTTTCACTGTATCGATGCGTATAAAAGTGTTTACATTCAGTTCATAAGCAATTACACATCCATAGCCATCTTTAAAGACGAAAACGTAACTGTATGTAAATAGAATGAGTTTTTCATTTGAGCAGCGCACTAGAACCCATGTAAACATCAAACGCAGAAATTGGGTGTGCGTGTGGGGTGAATGTGGGTGGGGTGTGGGTGTGGGTGGGTGTAGGTGTGGGTGTGTGGGTTTGTGTGTAGGATGCAGTTGTGGTTGTGGCTGTGGCTGTGAACTTTTCTTCATTAATCCATGCCCACACCCACACCCACACCCATTTTCTACAACCATTTTGACTTGTGGATAAACCATATTCCGTAGCTTCAATAAACGCTGATTTCTAGCAGTCGAAATAAAATGATATTTATTGGCACCTGCTAAATCGCCAGCACTCACAGCATTCTGGAGAGCGACAATATCGATTTTTGAATTTCGCAACGATTCGGTCAGAGATTTAGTGACAAAACGATTTCGATAGGTCGCTGGTGGTAAAATCATCACTCGATGACAGGGATTAAACTATTTTAAATGAGCACTGATCGGCTCATAGTAGTTGGCTCCGACATCATGATATTGAATCTCATTGGCAAGATACCATTCGTAGCAACTTGGTCGAGAATAATAAAGACTATAGAGTTCTGTAGCGATCATTTTCGAATGATGGATTGCCTTGCCTAAATGTCAGTTGATATCCAAGGGTAATGATAAACGATTAATGGCTAAGTTCGCGTAAATATTGTTAATCAATGTCCAATATCCAGTTCGCCCTAGTCTCATAATGATCTTCATATTGAGCTGATCTGCGCAGTCAAAAAGAACGTCAGAATAGAGATCGTCATTTGTCAGCAAAAAGCAGTGCGCCTTCTTGGGAATAACCGTCGTGGATGTATACTTTTCTAACATGGAAATAATGTATCTAGTAAAACTTGACGTTATCTCAGACGGATAATAAAAACAATCACCAAATTGCGAATAAGCAACACTGATGGTATTAAATTTCTAATGAATAGTAATTATTTACTAACTTTATGAGATTTGTCTTAGTAATACTTCCATTTGCTTCATTCATTCCCCTTCGAAAGTTTGCGATCTCCAACCCGACGATGGGAAAATGAGCTTTCATAATTACAGGAAACTACAGAAACGAGTTCGATGCCATGATAAACTTTGCCAAATTTGTAGAAATGGTGATGAGTTGAAGGATGTGACAAGCAAAATGATTTCACTTTTTTATCGCTAGTCTTTGAATAACAAAAAGATTACATCAATATTGACGAATTTATCATAAAAGACTACCTTTCTCTTTTTATATTTCTCTTATCTCTTTTTCTTTTCAAGTCGAGACAACAAGATCGAACATGTCTAGTAGTAAACGATTACTTAGAGCGATAAACGAAGATCATAAATAGATTCTGTTTGCGATCAGCTGATGTCGAGTCGCGTATGTTCAATATTTTTTTTATTTTTCTGCACTTTCTTCGATGTACTATATCACACGAATTATTTGCTTCTTTAATTCTTCAGATTGAAAATTTCGAGATGCAATTATTGCTGCTGTATAGCCGACGCTCAAATTAAAACAATCTTGCAGCACAATAGAATAAATCGATATGTTACACCTTGGAAAAAGGAGACCAATTTCCCAAACTCCAAGTTCGTCAATGCTTCTGTCTTGACTAGCAGCCACTTCGAGAAAACATAAAGGAATTTTACGACAGATCAATGTGACATAGTAAGGAATAAGAAAAACTCATAAAATGAGTATAAGTGTAATAAATTAATGATTAAAAATTAGTTTGAGTTACCTTTTCCATGCTCAAAACATAAATACGAAAATCGCCAAATATTGCTGTACCCAATGGTAAAACCAATGCATGAAAAAAGAAAATCAGAATTATCTGACCATCTCTCACGTTCTTTCAAATGAGGCATATTTTCGTGTTCTTTTTTTTTGAAATTAAATACATCGTCTAATTTTGATTTATTCATCTCATTTTCATTATAACACACGTGCACAAGAACACGAATAGTGATCAATGATTTATTAATTTATGTTACAATTAAAATAATTCAGTTCATTAAATAATTTCAACAATGAAAAGCAAATATGTGAAAGCGGACAACAGGAAATCAAAAAATGCAAGAGATTTCAGTCGAGTTTAACAATACATGCTAGCCGGAGAAATCGCCTGAATTCAATTTAATTTGTAATGATTTAATAAAAGAGTTACGATTCATTTTCGTAACTATTCTTATTCTCTTTTCTTACTGGCATGATACAAAACATATCCGAAGCATCATCATTATACATCGAATTCAAGCTCGAAAACTATTTTCCAATTTTCAACTTTTCAACTGCTGTAGCTAGATGATTTTTCTTACCCTCACTCTATGATATGTTTTCGATGTGTAGTTCGATGCAAATGAACTATGAGCTATGCCAAAAGAAAGGTTCTAGCTTACAGAACTCGAAAACATTTTTATTTTTATCCCAGGTCAAAGACGTACGGTGAAAATGGGCGGATCGGATGAACTTCTAGCGAATTCTGAAACCCGGAGGCGACGTTCGGATACGGTTGCCATTTTCAATTCGGCTGTGGCGCTTAGATCCGATAGCCGCATAACATAACAAGATACGGCTCGGAACTTGTTCTTTCCAGTTGTGTGATATCAATAACCTCCAACCGACAAATCGGTGATTCATATCGAAGATAAGAATTATTTTGTTTGGGTATTATTGTGATTCGCTCGTGTAAAAATAATAACAAAAATCAACTCAAAAAAGTCTTCAAAACCAGACATTCACTTAAATAAAAATACGAAAATGTAAAACAGTTACTTTAGACTCTCAAGATACGATATAATTTCGGTGTGATTCTGGGTGGATGCAACATAGTTTTATGATTTTCCTATCTGTAATACCTGCCACTATGTTTCACGCATATTTTTGATCGTTTTCGGTGAGTTTTCGCTGTATCTAGTGTTCGAAATCATCAATTTGGGATATTTTATGATCTTCAAAATGGATAAAAATATTTTCAAGTTTATAAAACAAAATGAATTCGATAGTTTGTAACAATTTCTTAATCTAATCATCTACAACCAATTTTATTAATACAACTGCGACCACTTCTATATCGTTCATTGTCTTATATATGAGACGAAAGAGAAGAGATAAACGATAAAATAATCAAAAGCAAATAGTCGCTATAGAAAGAAGGGAAAGGAAAGAGATGATAAGTAAAGAATGACACTAAGTACATTATTATTGCGTCGCAATAACATTCACTTTAGCCGTTCTTTTTTTGTTCCGCTGGCATGATGCCTGAATTACTCTTACTACTGTTCTGTTCTTCAACTGAAAATTATCAAACTCTTTTTCAATATCTTCTAGTAAAATTCCTTTTGTTTCTGGACAAAAAAAGTATACGAATACTGCAGAGAATAAACATAGACCACCGAAAATATAAAATACTCCATGTATTCCTAATGGAGTTATTAACTCCAATACATAAGCCATAATCATACATAGAAACCAATTGCTCCCTGTCGTTATTGCAACAGCTCTAGCTCTAACATTAAGAGGAAAAATCTCAGCTGCATAAATCCAGGCGACTGGTCCCCAAGAAAGTGCAAAAAAACATACAAAAATAGCTGTAAAGAAAAGCATTAATATACCAGAACTTGTTTGACAACTCACAATTTCTTCATTTACTATAGTACCATTGGTGATAGTTTTAATTACGTCACAACCTGTGACAAATACTGTTGCTGCTAGGAAATGACCAACTGCCATGCCTAAGCCACCAAATATGAGAAGTTTTCGACGTCCTAGTCTATCAAATAAGAATAAGGCTGGTATTGTGCTTAACATATTTGCACCAGACAAAATCAATAATGATATGATGCCTTTTCCAAGAACACTTTGATATATAATACCACCAAAATTAAATACAGGATTAATACCCGTTGTCTGTTGTAAAATATGCATGGCCACCCCTATACTAAGTCTTTCAAGCATTTTCTTTGTTGTGCATAGTTTTGTGATTGAAAAGTGATCACCTTCTTCTTGTATAGCATCAGCAATAGCATCTAATTCAGCAGTTACATCGTCTGTTTGACGAATACGCTTTAAACTTTTCTCTGCTGATTCGCGATTCTTGTTTTTGAACAACCATCGAGGAGTTTCAGGACAGAGAAATATGCCAATCATTATAGTAATCGGAGCAATTAAAATAATTCCATTTGACAATCGCCAGCCCCATTTATGATCTTGTATTAAAAAATTTACCACATTGGCAGCAAACAACCCAGCTACGACAGTCATTTGCATAAAACCGGAAAGCATTCCACGTAGGTTTGTTGGAGCTATTTCTGAAGCATATAATGGACAAGAAAATGAAGAACAACCAACGCCTGTTCCTTCAATAATCCGTCCAATAAGTATCAAAATCATTATCTTTTTGGAACCTCCTGGTGGAAAAATAACTATTGAGGTCCCAATTAAAAACAGAATTGCTGAAGTGAAAATAATGGCTCGACGTCCATATTTTTCTGCCACAAATGAAGAAATAAACATAGCACCAATAAAACAGCCGACATTATACATAAAAGTAAAGAGTACTAAAAATCTTCTGTAATCTGAAGGCAAAGCAGCTATTGGAAGGTCACAAACAGTTGCATTGGCATATACACCAACACAAAAATCGTTTTTAAATGAACTCATGACAACTATACCACCAGTAACACCTTGGTCATATCCAAAAAACCATCCAGCCAATGAACTAAAGGCAGCCAATAGAACGGCAAAAGATGAATTTGTATATTGAACACTTTTATGTTGATGATGATGAATTTTTCCTTCAGATTCCATCGACGTTTTATCTATATATTGATTAACTTTGCTTGCAGTTTCTATCGTTATTTCTCTATTTTTTGTGCTCACTGTAATCAAGTAACACAAATTTACTTTTGAATGATTGTAATGATAATAGTGAAGTAATCAAAAGGTTGGCATTGATGTAGCGAACAGAAAAAAAGATCGAAGTAAAAAGCATCGAAATAAAAAAAGGTTAAAGTGATAATTATCAAAAGTGCATCTATTCCCAGCTTACTTACCTTCACTATCACCAACATTGTGCGCATAATCTAAACAAGGATTCATAGGTTATATTTAAATGTAATTAATGTGTATTCAAATTGCATTAATATCATTTTCGACATTTGTTCGTTCCATTAAATCAATACACACTCATCAGAAATAAAATAGAATTAATACTTGTTTGAAATGCAAATTTTAGATATTTCATTTTTATTTTATACTATCAAGAACAAACCCATTCGATGAATATACTCGTCATTAGACTATAATCATTATTTTTACAGTCATTTCAGTATTTTTAAATACTTACTTTTTCTCTGATATGTCAAAAAACAAACTAGCCATTTCGTACTTGAGGATATTAGGGTCTGATGAGATGTAATGGATTTTCTAATCTTTATTTTAAAAGATGAAAATGAATAAAAAGAAAAATACGAGATGGAAGACATAACACCACTCGAACCCCCTCTGACGACAGAAGAAGAACTATATATATAAAGAAAACAACGAGAGAGAGACATAACTAGAAGACATGATATCACTAGAACAAAGAAAAACATAGATCAAATCATAACAACAAAGGTGATATCATGTAAAGAAAAGAAGAACGAAAGAAACAAGAATAAGAATAATAAGATGAACTAGTGTGAGGGCAGGCCCGTAACAGTCGACCCTCATAGAGAAGGTGTGTGTCCGCACGCATGGTTCTGAACAAAGATTAACAACAATAATAATAAATAGATATACCCAAGTCAACGATTTCGGCCTCCGGATCCTGCAGAAACCGGCGGAAACGGCCTAATTTCCAGCCTTTTCCAGCCGTTTCCGGTGTTTTTCCGGTCGGAAACGGCCGGAAAAATACCTGGATCTTGGAAGCAGTATTCCGGCCGGAAATTTCTCGTACCCGGAAACGGAATGTTTCGCTCATTTCCCGCCACCGGATATCAGCGGGAAAAACCTCGAAACCTCCAGGAACCCGCCGGAAACCCAGAAGGAACCGGCCGTTTACCACTGGAAAAACGTGATAACCGGTTTGAAAGATCTTTGAAAGATCTTTTTTTTTTGAAAATTTTTTTTAATGTCGAATCAGACTTTTTGAGAAAAAATAAATTTTCCTCAAAACCCTCCAAACTTTTCAAAAACAAGACTTCAGGACCCCAGGGTTCGGGGCTGGGGATCTTTACTAAACAGTTACCAGTTAACCGGCAACTGGTAACGGCGGTAAGTTTTCCGTTACCGGTTACCTGGCAAAGCAACGGTAACTTCACACCCCTATATGAGGCACGAAATCAACTCTGTCTTTACACATTTCGTGTAGGAATTGTGAAGTCTTTCAAAGATCTCAGAAGTCATAGAAAGATCTTTGAAAGGATTATGATAGATTTTGGACACTCTCCTAAAGATATTTGAAAGATCTTTCAAAGTCGCAGAAAGTCTCCCAAAGGTATTTGACAGGTCTTGGAAAGGCTCAGGGAGTCTTCCAAAGATGTTTGAAAGATCTTTCAATGCCTTCGAAGGGATTTTGAAAGATGGCTCAAAGTCTTTGAAATATCTTTCAAAGGTCTTTGAATGGCCGGATATGGGCTTTGTCAACGAAACGGAAAGAGGTGGAATATAACCGGATCATGTGATCGGGATGAAACCTCGGAACCGTAGTTAGGAACCGTACCGGAAACGGCAGGTATACGGCTCGGATCCGGTTAGAGTGATTTAGAAGAGGAAACTTAGTCGGGAACCGCATCGAAAACGACGGTCGTATCCGAAGATCGCACCCGGAGGCAGGAATGAGCGGGAACTAAGCAGGGTCCGGATGTCGGATCCGATTTTGGAACACTGCTTCCAGGAATTGACCGGAATTTCTCGGAATTCGGCCGTTTCCCGCCGTACATCTTTCACCTGGATATAGAAAAGTACAACAAAGAAAAATAGATGTTTCAAATATAAAACAATAAATCTGACTGTATGACAACCAAAAAAATATAAAGACAAAAGAAAATATATATATTTGTTTTCTTGGATTTGTTTTCTTGTGAATACGTTGATAATGTTTTTCTGTGAACATACCACTATCTAATTTTTCTTCTACTTCTTTCCGTATTGCTTCATCCCTAACTCCAACAAATAATATATTACCAAGAACATTGATATTCACATAATGGATATTCATATATAATAAAACATTTTAAATTGCCTAATTGTAAATCCACGATAGATTTTCCTAATTATTTGAAATCGATATCGTTTAGCTCGTTTTTTTCGGCTTTTCTTTTGATTTCTTGTTAATGGCTTACCAGATAAATGTTGTTGATATTTATTATTTATATTAAGCGGTTGCTGTTCATCTTCATCGGATATAATTTCAATATCATTTTGACGATCATTTCGTGCATGACCAATATCTTGATCATCACTATAAGCTAATGGTTGTTTATATTCATTTAATTGATGTTGTTTTTAAGTAAAATGGAGTTTCATTATTTCAGGTAAAGACATATCATCAATATCATCATCTCTAATCATTTTCAAAGAATCATCTCGATCATGACTCACGGTTAATATATCATATGTTGGCGCATCATCTATTTTAACATCATCATATAATTTAACAATTTCATTTTGTACATGAACATTTATATTATAATTAATTTCATTAGCTGGCCATTTATTAACAGGTTCTTGTTCATGATCGAATGCTAATTCATCATCAAATATTGCTTCAAGATCATAGGTAATTAATGGTGTTGGAGATTCTGTTTCTGTTGGTGATTGTAATTCATATACCAGCTTCTTTACAGCAAGGCAATCGTTCAAATCATAAGTGATCATAAATTTTCTGATTTCTTCTTCATCTTCTACAATTTGTTTTTGTTGATTTAAAAATTGTCTTGATATTATTATCGTATTTAAAGCTGGATCAAGACCACAACCAAAACTTACAAAAGTAAAACGTTTAGTCAACCATTGATTAGACATTTTGTAAATGGCAAATTGAAGAAAATATGCTTCATTTGCTTTTAGTTTAATATCAGGTGATAATTGATAATTTTTGTTGAAGCAACGTTTAAATTCATCTTGTATATATCGTTCTTTAGCAGACTTCATATATCATTTTCATCAAATAATTCAAATTTATAAAAATGTTTAAGTTCTTTTTTGATACTGCCCCATAGATAAATTTTGGGATTATTTTGAAAAAATAATTTTTAATAATTGTTTAATTTTAATAAATGTTGGCTCATTGCGTTTTGGCAAATGCATCACTTCAATGATTAATAAAATTGATGGATTATTTTCATAAACATATTCAATTTGTAATAAAGCTTGTTTCGATGATTGAGGTGATGGTTGAAATTGGTCTTCGGTATCAATGGTGTAGTTTGTTACTTCCTTGGCATAGCCGATCAAGTTATCGAGTACGTCCATAGATGTTTGATTATGAGTATGATAATATCTATAAATAGCTAATGGTTGAAAATGTTCACATTTACCTTGTTTATGAAGTTGTTCGTATTGATTTTCTTCCACTACTCGTTTGAGTTGATATTTATCTGTAAGTTTATCTAATTTTCCCAATGGTAAAATATATGTTGATCGATTTTTATAGGTAAATGATGCATTTGTGGATTGACGATGATGCACGATAATGATTTGAGCGTCGGTGATAATCATTCGACATATTATTTGTTATTATTGTTGTTGCTAATAATAATGATAATAATAAAATTTGCTTTTTTCTGAATGAATCTGTTGGTAACAAAAAGTTTGTGTTTTTCCATTGATGATAAATCGACACGAATATTCAATATCTAAAAAAATATGTATAAAACCACGACTCATGTAATGAATCCTCTTGTAGGGGTGTGGATGTGGGTGCCCGTCAAAGAAGAATACACTTATATTCACACCCACACCCTTTAAAATGGCTAGAGACATTATTTATTTATATATGGACGGCTGTTATTAGAAAAGAAATAAATAATCCCGATGAAATTTCTCAAGATATTATAGATATTTCTCAATTTATAAAATACCATATAGAAAATAAGAATATTTTGATTCCAGATAATATGAAAGATTTTGTTAATTATAAAGTCGAACGTTGGGTATATAGTGCATTTCAAGCACGAATTATGAGAGAAGATGACCATTTTGTTTCAGATATATCTAAAACAGATGAACAAAATAATAAAAAACAAAAAACTATTATTGTACTTGATAAAGATACAGGAGTTGAACAATATTCTACACTGATTGAAGTATTGAGTAAATAACTGCTATGAAATACATTTTGAATTTTTTCAAAATTCACTTTTATTTCGAGCTTTCGGTGAACACTTTCACCATCATCAGCAAACAATTGACAATAAGAAAAAGTTACACACATATATATATGTACAAAACATGAAAGAGAACGTGCTAATGATACTACAAAAGGAACAGTTTTCCAACTATTGTATTATATATTCGAATATATAAGTTCGTAAGAACTTGGTTTTTGGCCCATTCAGCGTCCTTATATGGACGTGTTTGATTATTTTGTATTGTGTTGTTGTTTGTTGATGAGATTATTTCATTGGTGACTTGATTGGAGATGCTAATTGTTCCATTATTGTCGAGGTTGAAGTTTTTGAATAGTGTTGGTTGTTGTTTGTATGTATTTGTGATTATATAAGTACTTTTTTTTTTTATTATTACTATATATTTAGTATACTTTTAGTTTATGTTTGGCATCGTTGAGTGATTGTCCGTAGCTATAGTGAGTGTATAGGCTTTCTTTTATTACTCGTCTTTTCCATTCTTGTTCATATGACAGTATTTTTACATTATTGAAATCAAAAGAATGTTGCTGTTGAACAACATGTTGTGCAACTTTTGAATTTAGATTTTGTTTTTTTATGTCTTCTTGGCGTTCCTTCATTCTGATGTTAATTTCTCTATTTGTTTCTCCATAATAACTTTTTGTACAATTTTTACAAGGTATTTGATAAATTAGTTTCTTATCTTTCTTATTTTTATCATTTCCTTTTTGTTTATTTAGAAATATTTGTTTTAGTGTGTTAGTCTTTTTAAAAGCAATATTTACGTTTATCGTATTTATATATTTTTTACATATCTTTTTTATCTTTTCTGCTAGTATTATTGACTCCTGTCCATAGTATGACAGAGTTAGAAATACCTGTTTTTTTGTTGAATTGTTATTGTTTTTTGGTTGATTATTTTTTATTCTTTTTGTTATTATTTCTCCTTCTTTTATTCCTCTTTTTATGATATGGTTAGGATAACCATTATCTGTTAGTGTATGTTTTAGTTCTTGTATTTCGATGTTACTATATTTCTCTGACGAGCAAATTAGTAATATTCTAATGGTTAGTGATCTTATAAGTCCTAACTTATATTTTCTACATTGGTTGCTTTCGTAAAGTAAATATAGATTTGTGTTAGTTGGTTTTTTATATATTGTTGTTACATATTTATTTTCTGTTAGATCTCTAATGACTAGAACGTCAAGAAATGAGATTTGATTATTATTCTCTTCAACCATAGTGAACTTAATGTTCTTATGCCATTGGTTGATTTTCTTGAGTAAATATTTCGCGTTTTGTTTTTCATTAAATATACAAAATACGTCATCTACGTATCTTAACCATACTTGTGGTTTGTTTTTTGAAAAGCGATTAAGTTTTTTCTCAAGGTTTGACATGAATATGTCTGCTAGTATGGGTCACAAGGGAGAACCCATAGCTACACCGTCACATTGAATGTAGTATTCATTCATGAATCTGAATGGAACGTCACATACTGCCATTAGCAGTAGTTGTTCTAGTTCATGTTTTTTGAACGGAGTGTTATTTATTGTTTTTGATTTTTTCATCTCGTTCACTGTTATTTGTATAGCTTCCTTAACAGGAATGTTAGTATAAAGTGCGTCTACGTCAAAGCTGCACATTATTTGATCTTTTTTCATTTTTGTTTCTTTTATTAGTTTAACGAATTCAAAAGAGTCTTTTATAAAAGAAGACGATTTATTTGTTTGATTTGTTTTTATAAGATTAGCTAGATATTTTGATAGCTCATAGTTGTAGCTACCTATTGAAGAAATTATAGGACGCAAAGGATATGTTTGTTTATGTATCTTTGGTTGTCCATACATACATGATATATTAGAAGATGTTGATCGAATTTTGTAAAATAGTTCTTTTTTATGACTTTTTTATTATATAATTCTCTAAGATAGTTATTCATCTCATTTTCTTTTTGTTTTAATAGTGAGTTTTTTGTATGTTCGAATTGTTCTAGTTTTAAGATGTTATGAATTTTTTCTATATAGTCTTTCGTATCCATTATGACTATAGCGTTGCCTTTGTCGGCACGGCTTAAGATTATGTTAGTGTTATTTTTTAATGATTTTATTGCTGCAAATTCTTCGTCGCTTATATTTCGAATTATATTTTTATTTTTGTTTGTTTTATTTAAGAATTTTTCAGAATAGTCATGTAAATGATGACATATTGTTGAAAAGATAGTAGGATGACAGTGCGCCTCTAGTCGCACTGCATTCATTTCTATATCTGTTTTAAAGTCATCGACTTTTGTTAGTTTATTTTGTACACAAAAATTCCAACCACGACAAAGCAGTCGTTCCTCAGTTGATGTTAGACTAGGGTGTGGGTGTGGGTGTGGGTGGGGTATCTATTCAGTTGATCTACAAGGACACCCACACACGCACACCCCACACCCGATCAATAGCAGTGAGACCAATCAACCAATAGCTATTTCGTACTTTATCAGAAATAATACGAAGACTCTCTTCAGATGAATCTAATTCTTAGTCACTTTGGTAAAAGAAATATCTATTGAACATGTATTGAAAGATGATTTAGTAAAAAATGCTTTTTCTCTTGTTAATATCAATTGATGATGAATCATGACGCTAATTATATGTTACATTATTATTGTTCTGTTTCTGTTCTTCTTTGATGTTGTCCTTTTGATGTTTCTTTAATTATCGTATGTCTTATTTGTTAAGTAAAGGAGATAATATGGGTCACTTCTTTCGGATGAGAAGAGTGAAAAAATTGAAAGATAGACATGAGACTCTACTGCTTAAATGGATTGAGTTTGTTGATTAAATATCCATGTGTGCATCGCTGTGCCTTTCTTTTTATTCTTCCTGTGNAGTTCTCACTTAACACTTAATTTTAAGAATTAAGTTTTTACTTAACACTTAATTTCAAGAATTAAGTTCTCACTTAACACTTAATATTAAGAATTAAGTTTTTACTTAACACCTAATATTAAGTAATTAAGTGATGACAGGAAAACTTTTTTATTAATATTAAGTGTTAAGTGAAACCACTTAATAAGTTGACTTAATTAAGTGGAATTAGAATCAAGGGTCCACCCCTACTAATAGTTAAATAGGATAAAGAAAAAAATTTCAATTTTCCTTGTCTGCATTAACCATATAAGTTAGAATCTGTCAATAATCAAAATAGATGAATTGATCGATCAATTTCACCTCGAATTATTTTTTCGAATTTTTTTACTATCAGGTAAGAAATAAAATTATTATGTGTGAGTTAGAATTAATACAAAATTGAAAACTTAATCGAGATACATGAAATTTATGATGGACATACATTGAATTTGAACAAATTTTTAATAAAAATAACAAAATTCTAGTTGAAATCTTTGTTAATTGAATCTTTTATTAAGCTTCAGTAGAATCATTCATAAGTAAACTTGATAGAAAAATAGGATAGAACATAAAAATAACAAATATGGAGAGAGTCTTGTATGAAAACTTGTATTAGTATTGATCATAGTTGAAATTTTGATTAGCATTGATTTATAACGAGGATCAACATCAATGGCTATTTCATCACCCATTCGATTCATAACGTAGGAAAATGCAAATTTTTTTGCCGGTACGGCAAAACCAATACTTCCTCCAACTCCTAAAATTTGAAAATTAAAAAAGAATTCAATAAAAAATAAATAAATAAATAAAAAGAATTTAATTAACCATTATGACCAAATACTCCAGGTCCGAATGCTGGAAAAATGTCATCCATAAGTATAAAACCCATACTAAATTTAGTTGGAAATTTTATTACAAAATCAATTTCGTGTTCAGGTGTATTCGATTTAGTTGCCTGTTGTAAGATTTGTTCATTTAATAATCGTTTGTATTTGTGATTGTCTAAATCACTCATTAAAGATGCATAGACTCTTGCTATAGATCGAGCATTAGTTATTCCATTAGCAGCCGGAATTTCTGCTTGATGTGTGCTCTTATTATTGAATGCTTCATAGGAATCAGGTAATGTTTGATTTAATGTTCCGTTTTCATACGATTTGAAATCTAATGGTGACACTCGATATTCTTGTTGAGATGGCAAACCAATATAAAATTCTATATTTAATGGATTTGCAATTTCATCACGAATAAATTCTCCTAAAGTTCTATTCATGGGATCAACACGTCGAACAAGTTCACCAGCTAACCAACCGTATGTCAATGCATGATAACCATGCTTTGTACCAGGTGGCCATACTGGTTTTTGTTGTTCTAATGTATATATCATTGCTGTCCAATTAAAATATTGTTCAAATGATGAATTATCGAAAGGTAGTCCTGCACGATGTGAAAGAATATCAGCTACAGTTGTATTTTCTTTGCCATTGTATCCATATTCTGGCCAATATTTTGTTACTAATTCTGAATAATCAAGTAGACCTCGTTGAACACAAAGTGCAGCAGCTACAGCTACTAAACCTTTCGATGTTGAAAATACTAATTGTAATGTATTATTATCATAAGGTTTTATTCGTGATCGATCGAACCATCCACCCCATAAATCAACAACCAATTTTTCTTGATGATAAATTGCTACGGATGCACCAAAATCTCGTCGTTCTTTAAAGTTTTCTTTCAAAAAGTCTCTAACAAACTCCCATCCATCGGCCGTTGAACCATAGATATTAAAATCGACATTTTGTTTCGCAACAGTTGTTAGAATAAGCAAAGACCATATGAAAATCGCATAACGAATCATGACACACTATTTCAAATGCGTTATATATAAAATAAAATGAGAAACAAAAGAATAAGAGAATGAAGATTACTTGGTCATATCTATCATTGCTTCGTCATACAAACTACAACAGTAATCGTTATCAGCATTTTTTTTTGTTCTTTTTTTTCTGTGTGCGCAATAAACAAGTAGGAGATTTCAATGGATTTAAAAGACAATCTTGCACAAATAGCACTTCTAAGATGAATGAAGAACGCATCAAAAAAGGTCTACAGTACAAAATATAGTAACAAAAACTAGTTTTAGGCTAGTTAAAAAACAAGATGAGCCTTCAAACCGCACATTATCATCAGCTCCGGTTTAGAATGATTCCAAATCTTAATGATACAAATTGATTCGACTCTCTTGAAAGCACAATCTAAACTGATGGCTCTCTTTTGACTATAGAGTTATTATGATGAATTCATCTAACTTCGCGTGAATTAAATACAATATTTTTAATTGTCAAGGTGATAATTATTTATATGCCCTAAGGCAATATATATTCAATGCATTAACATTAGCTTCACTACAATGTGTATGTACCAAGGAGAATCTCTTGCTAAAATAAATTTCTAATTAAAGAATCTTCAAAAAAAACAGTAAATCACTATAAACCTATTGGAATCAATGGGAAACAGCTATGTTCTCTTGTCTTCTTAGTTATATAGATGTTAATGTTGGTACGTTTAATTGTGCATACTCACACTCATACTCTTACATTTCTGTTCTTAAACAAAAGGCATTTACTCTTGAAAAGTCAAATAATGTGCCGTTCCTTATTGAAACATAATCTTTTTGTAGGGCTACACCGTGAATTGAAATGTTTACTTCTGTCTTTCTCTGATATTTAGTCGAAATAATTTCTGTCTGCTTTGTAATCTATTAAGCGACCAAATCTATGCAATTATGAGGTTCTATATAAAAGCATTGAAGTCGATTAATTTAATCAGTTCTCAAGGTACAGTTCACGATATATTCAAGGATGTTCTTTTGCAAGTTCGAGTAAGACAACTTGTTTTTCTATCTAAAAAGTTAATTATAACTTATCATTGTAGAGATAAACTCTAGAATCTTATCGAAATATGATTTTTGCGCAGCAAAAAAGATATCCGAAGGACAAACTTGAATAACAGCATTCTTTCAATTGAAAGAAAAGCCAACAAAACTCAATTAGTTTTCTTTGAACTTGACAAGAGCATTAATCCATTCTGTTGAAATTGACTCGGATACCTTCAAATAGCTGTATATATGTTTATAGGTAATCAAAAACGTAATAAGATAAACATTCATAGTCGTTCGTATTTCTTGAATCACGCAGCAACGATGAATGATCAACTGCTTCGGTTCTACTTTGTCACTAGAGTGATTCAAAAAGCTGTGAATTTTTCGTAGCTGTGCCCATTGGTTGGAAGTCAAATAAATGTGTATCGTTGTACAAAAGAGCACGGAGCTTTATTCCACGCTATCCGTAATATTAATTAGTTTCATGAAAAAAATCTGTCGAACTTTATGATGACACTAAATACTGTTAGCTCACACAGGAATTAGAGTATGAGAGGAATACTATCCATGAGTGACAAAAATATCTTTGTCGATTGCTCGAAGTGTTGAGATCCAAAAATGCATGAACGACACATCCACATCCACACCCTAAGTACTCACTTGTGTAAGAATTCAAATCTCTCATATTTTATGAGTTAATGCGAAACGGCGAATAGAGTGTGAGTGTGTGTGTGGCCGCGGCTGTGAAATATGCGTATGTATGTGGGTTGGGTGTGAATGTGGCTGGAAAGAAGGTTCATGCTCATAGTCACACCCACACCCAATATCTAGTTTCATTATGCTAATTGCTGTGGATGTTTGGATTTCACATCGAATGAGGCTCGCGATTTTTCCAGTCGTTTTAGCGCTGCTTCAAGTCGTTGCATTTGCATGTCTACTGACGAGGGAAGGTCACCAACTGTTCAACCGATTTTTGATCGAATCCTAGTGATTTATAGGTAATCGACCATGCTGATCCAGAATATCACAATGGTTTGGGCGGATAGGCCTTCAGTGCCCCGGTTTCTAGAAAACCCGGTTTTACGACCAAAAAAAATTTTTTGCGCGAAAATGTTTTTTTATCTGTCCAGATGAAAGAGCACATCGCAAAACCTATAAAAACATATTTGGTTCGCTCTTTGAACAATTATTNGTAGATAATCTTCTACATAAGAATGAGATTGATACATCGACCCGAGACCTCATAAACCGGACAGTAAGTTGGAAACTGTGTAAGAGTCTGCAATTTGTCTTTACTTACGAAAGTCAAAACTAAATAGGCCATTTTGTAGAGAATTATATTTTGCATCGAATGGTATGTCTCTCAATATTTTTTCAAAAATTTTTTTGGTTAAAAAATTCAAAATATGATTTTTCACAAGTTTAAAACCCAGTTTTTGATTCTAAAACCTAACTTTTTTACAAAATAAATGTCAAATTCGTAATCAGCGAAGTGTCGCGTTACGTGGACAAGCCGATATATTAAAATAACTAATTTATTTCAATTGTTTAATGAACAAATTTTCCTAAGTAGATTAATAACTGCACTACTTCAACTATAAATTTCTTTCTTGACGACAAAATTATGTCCATTAATCTGTAGAAAAACGCTTCATTAATTATACGGAACGCTTTTCTTTTGAATACGATCAATAGAAAAAAAAGATGAAGGCAAAATAGAAAGACACAGAAAGAAACGTATTGAATCTATAAACATTGCATTTTTTCCTTTTGCGATCATATTTCAACATTTAATGCTATTGAGTGTTAACATCGTAAAATTGTGAAATATAATTCCGCGTATATCGTAATTGACGATTGTGATTGTTTGACTTAGACTTTTTTCTTTCTATAAGAAATTATTCATCAAGGTTGTTGCAGAAAATGAGATGGATGAAGGGATTAGTCTAAAAATAAACATCTTCAAACGCAGCTACGGGAACTTAAATACTTTTAGACATCTGGACGCTGGCAATGAATTATTTTAACGTTAAGCAATTTTTAATAGTGTCTTCAACGTATTTCACATAGGAATTCTATTTCATCTCAAATATAAATGAATGAAGTATAAACACTTTCTAAAAAGCTATCGATTGAATAGAGTCCGAAACAATTCGATGATTTGTTTGTCATTAAATTTCGACTATCTGAAAGACTCAAAAATCTAGTAAAAATAATTTTATTGAAATCTTATTAGAATAATTAAGATTCAATAGCATTCAACACAGATGTATTTTTATTTAGATACATAAAATCACTCGAAAAAGTATCTGCACACCTACAAAATTCTTCGCATATTTTCATTTGCAGAGTAGAAACAAAATATAAAATTTTTCTATTTTTATCAGTGGATACTTCTTACTCTATATTAGGTTTCCTATCAATATAATGATCTAATTTGACCATAATTGAAGACGACAATAAAATTCGATCGTATTGTTAGATAACCTAATATAGCATAAGGGCTATCTATTAGTAAAATAAAAAAAAATGTTATCTCTTCTTTTCTGTTACGCAAATAAAAAAAAATATGAAAAACCTTGTAGATGTCTGGATATTTTTTCGAATGATTGTATTTCATGTTCTCTTCTCATACGTTTATCTAATGAATTATGATTCGAAAGAATAACAATTGAATAAAAAACATCCGAGAGATCGGGATGAATCAGTCAAAATCGGGCTGGTGAGAGATCAACATAAAAGAGATTTTTGACCCGGTTGTGATATATGAATGCCTCCCCAATACTTCAAATATTTCTTTATCAAGTATCAGTTATGTGTTCATTGTGATACTAGGGATATAACAGCATACACGTAATTAATTTAACTGTAAAATAAGAAGAAATTTAATTAAGAGAAGTCAATGCCTAAAATATAGTACTTAATAAATTACTGACTAATATTCAACTCGTAAAATCTAATCAGTATAAAAAAATTATTGCAGATCGCGAAAATTATCTTTATAAATATTAATACGTTTAGTTTTAAATTCTAAACTTTATCTTTTCATGTAAAACAAAATTTTCTGTTTAGATTAGAAATGTAGTGTTGCGATAAATACTGAACTACTGATAATGAGTCACTGACATAGGATAGATATTCATTAAAACACTAACATGCACGTTCGCTGCAACATCGCGACATCAATTCTATCGACATATATCTTTTTTATAGCAGTGTGCTTCAGTATTTCAGTAAATACTGGTACGAATCTGCCAGTACGGTCGTATAATCAGTCTGCACTAAATACATTGAATCGATGATGTTGGTGATGAGTAAACTGAAACCGCACATCGATAGTTTCGACTATGACTTTTTTAAAGATTACATAAGTAATTTTATTTTATTTTTTTCTATTCATATAAAACATTCAGTTTAATTTCTTTAAATTAAATATATAATTTAATATTATATTTAGGTCGTGTACAAGCTGTATGTTTCAATGAAGAAGCAACAATAATATTTTCAGCATCAATTGATGGTACCGTAAAAATTTGGGATGTTAAATCTCGTGAATACGATCCTATTCAAGTATTAGATGATGCTAAAGATAGTGTTACAAGTATATCATTAGGTAATAATGAATTATTAACAAGTTCACTTGATCAACGTGTTCGTATATATGATATACGTTATGGTAAATTATATGAAGATTATATTGGACATAATTTAACATATATAAATCTTTCACATGATCAACAATGTTTTCTTGTTGGAACATTATCAAGTCAAATAATGTTATTTGATAAAATAAGTGGAAAATTATTACAAACATTTGTTGATTATACAAATAATACATATATGATTGAAAATGCATTATCAAATGATGATCAATTTATATATAGTGGATCAGAAAATGGTCGTTTAATATGTTGGAATTTATTAACAGCTAAACAAATATGTGCTATTGAACATGAACCAGATAGTCGAAGATCAGTTAATACATTAACACATCATCCAAAAGAAGATAAATTACTTACGGCACAAGAAGGAAATATTTATCTATGGAAAAAACAAGATCAAATTGAAGAAAAAGAAGAAATTAAAAAAACTTTTACATATGAAAAACAAATAAATGCTCCTACATTTGTTAGTGGAGGTTTTGAATAATTCTCTTTTTTTTTTTGTCTTTTTCAGATATTAGTTCCATAAGATAGATTTAAATGCCTATTGTTCCGTTTTTAATTGGTGTTGCCGGTGGTCCATGTTCTGGTAAAAATATTTCATTTATAATGAGAAAAATCGTTAAAAAACAAAATTATTCATTTAGGTAAATCAACTGTATGTCAAAAAATAGTTGAAGATCTTCAATCAACTGCTGGTCCTGATCAAGCAAGTCTTGTTACTGTTATACCAATGGAAAATTTTTATAAACCTAAAACAGCTGAACAACGTGAAATGGCTTTACGAGGAAATTATAATCTTGATCATCCTGATGCTTTTGATGATAAACTTTTATATCAAAATTTACAAGATTTACTTCATGGTAAATCTGTGAAAGTAAGAAAATAATGATTAAAAACAAAAAACAAAAAAGCTTTATTTTATTTCTATTTAGATTGCTCGTTATAATACAGGAAAATATGAACATGTAGAAGGAATTATGGATACAATTGAACCAGTACCAGTTATTATTATTGAAGGAATATTGATTTTTTATTTTCCAGAAATTCGAGTAAGAAAACAAATTTCAGTATTCGAGAGATATTTGTTGAATTTCTAATCGAGAAAAATAAAGATTTGTCAGCAAGGTTGATGATTTCAATGTAGACTGATAAATTTTCTCATAAGAATTACAAACTCAGTTATATAACTGAAAGAAATATTTCATAAACTGTATATTAGGAGTAAAACTAATATGCAATACAAAAATCTTTGGAAAAATATTAAACTCTATTATTCGGAACAACATGTAAGAGCCAAATTGAAATGAAAATACATCAAAATGTAGTGCATTAAAAATCTATAAATAGAAGCTTAGGTAAATTTTTTTAGATGTGTCTTTGACTCTTTAAACAATGAAAATTTTTGTAAAATACTGTTTTTTTTTTCGAAAAATATCAGTTTGCTCCTTCCGATTATACACACTTCATGTACAACACTGTGTGAATGACAGGATATGTGTAATTTGAAGTATTTCCAGTGTCCTATAAAAGTCAATCAGTGACAAAAATTATCGATTTATGATATTAGTCTACGGTGGTCTCAGATTTTTTTTTCAGTTAGAGAAAGACTATTTTTCAAAAAAAAAAACGTTGTTTTTCTTTTGTTATGAAATTTGACTAAAGATTTTCGGAGTCGATAAATCCGAATCTCTAGGTGATTTGATAAAATTCTCTATCTTGATCTTTCCGTTGAAGAGAAAGCTTGTTTCTTAAAGTTCAGTCAAGTTTTATAAAAATTCAGCTATTGTTTTGACATAAGTATTCCCTAGGCGAAAATATTTTACGAATGATTTCTGATGAAATCATCACTAATGTAACATAAATAAATGATTCGTCTTTCATTGAATACAATTTGCTTAAAAATTTTCGGCAGGTGCTACTTATCACGTTGTAGACGATGAAGATTACCATACGACGACAAATAACTATCGATTAAACTAACTATTTATCACTGACAAACAGAAAGTTTTACAATCATAAAAACAGCTGCTATTACCTTCGTGGATATAGATGGAAGTAACAGTAAGTGTCACATCCCTATTCTATACCGCTTTAAAAAATAAATTCATTACCGTTATTCAATTTGACACAGTTAAAACTTGTTCATTTTCTATGAACTAATTAATAATTTTCAAACTATTTATTTAGAATAGATTGAAAGAATTTTTGTTTTCTTTGTTATATATCTATTCGAAAAATTTTCCCTTTTAAATAATTTAACATTCAATAATCATGTTCTTTTTTTTTTTCTTTAGTTAATAAATAATTATTTTTGTTTTTGTTTTTATTAGAATTTATTTAACATGAAATTATTTGTTGATACAGATGCTGATACTCGTTTAGCACGTCGTGTTTTACGTGATATGAAACAATTTGGTAGAAATTTAGAACATGTTTTAACTGGTTATACAAATTATGTTAAACCATCGTTTGAAGATTTTTGTTTACCAACTAAAAAATATGCCGATGTTATTATACCACGTGGTGCTGATAATCATGTCGCCGTTGATCTTATTGTTCAACATATACGAGATTTTCTTAAATGTAAACCAAGAAAAAGTGATAGTCAACCACCAGCTGAACATACTGCACGAGCAAGACCACATTAATAAGAAAATATTATCCAACATATGTCAGATTGAGAATCTCGTTTTTCTTTTCTTTTTCTTTTTTTAATATATTGTGAACAATCAAGAAAACATGTTTTTTTTTCTTTGTTTGCTAGCCAGGCTTATCATGTGTCCTGTAGCTTAAATAATTCATGCTTACAGAAATATGTTTTTTTTTTTTTTTGTTCTTTGAAATACGCAATTACATTTTTAGAAAATATGTCGTTGATACCTGCTATTCATTCGTGGAATTTAACAAACTATGCTCGACGATTAAATTCAAATTCGACATCAAAAAATGAATATATATGGTCATGTCTTGATGTAAATCAAACATCATTAAATATGACAATAACACCAGCATTACAATTGTTGATAATATCAACAGATCAATGTATTGAAGAATTGATTGGTAATGAAAATGGAATAAAATATCTGAAAAAAAAAGAAACTTTTCGATGATTTACTAGATAACATATTTTATTTTTTATTCGTTCATCTGAAAAATCAACGATAGAACTGATCATTTCTAGTATAGTTCTTGTCTATGATTACTTGATGATCATAAAAAATGATTGTCAGAGAATTTAAGTTTTACTATGCAGTTGAATTTCTTGAACAAAATAGAATCTATGGATAGTTTATATATTGCCATGATCACATCATAATATATGTAGGGTGTTTCAAAAGTTCTCGACCTGATCTTATTTAAAAACAACAAGAAGTGCTGATGTCTGCGAATAATTCTATTCTATCTATAGACATGATGAAGACTACTCGATTGAAGATTAGAAAGATTTATCAAAGGGCGCTTCTCGATTTCAAGATGAATAATAAAAAATATCGATGTTGTACTTCAATATAATCAAAGTATCATTAAGAATGTCAAATGTATCTTGAACAAATCTTTGTCACATGTAATTGATGATGCAAAATACCATAACAACTCAGTTGAGATGCTACGATTCTCAATAACTAAACATTTAACGTAATATGAAAAAGAGTATTGGTCATATTCCAGATCACGATCAATTACTTGATTTTCACTCTTTAAAATGGCTAGTCCAGTAAAATAACTGTAGAAAATGATAGGAACACTATCACCATAAACTGTCATAATGTATTCATCAATACTGGTTTACAACTGGACTTCTAAAACAAAAAAAGTTTTTCATTAAACAATGCTTAACTTTTTGTCATTTTCTTAGTGTCTTTATGGTTGTCTAAAAAGTGTTCCTATATCAATGCTCTAGTCTTCAATCGAGTAGTGTTCATCATATTCATGGATAAAGTAGTACAGTGCAATATTTAGCTATTAAAAAATTGTGAAGAATGTTTCATGCAATTTGTTTAACTTGATAATATAATTAAGCATTCGATGAAAAAATACAATCGGCATAAGAAATATTGAAGATTCATTCCTACGATCTCGTCTGAATTCATTTTTTATTAGAAAAAATGATCTATTTGCTTTGATCTTACAAGAGATAGTATAAAAATGATTCTGTAGATGTAACAGTCTACTGGTGTGAATGAAATCGAAAAGTATAAAATTAAGCAAAATGAATATGACCATCTTGTAGAGCAATGCTGGTAGTCTATAGATACATAGATTTTACCTATGTAGATACGTATTAAAGAGATATCACTTAAAATTGATGAAAACCAATATTTTTCATATAAGCAAAAATAGTTTTGTTTTTTCAAAATCAATCGTATATTCTAGAACTGCTTTGAATATGCTCTTTAGTCATGACAAGATTACGACCGTTTTATTGAGAACAAACCATTTTTGAAAAATTCGAAACGAAAAGTTTCAAGTTAAAACTTTGTCTACAGGTATATTTGATAGTAGTGAAAATTTCAATGATAACGAGTGTATCTTTCTAGAGATTTTCAAATTCTAAATAGACTTAATTACTGAGTCTATCCATTGTAAATCCCTGCTATTTTGGAAATTGAATTATGCCGAGACACGCATGTTCATTATCATTGAAACTTTCAAAACTATCAAATGATATGTAGCAAAGTTTTGATTCGAAACTCTTTGTTATGGATTTTTCGAAAATGGTTTATTCTCGATAGAAATGTTATTAAAACTATCTTAATTCTGCATCAGCAGGTCATGGATCTGAATATGTTTTTAGCCATAATATGTATTCGAATGGGGTCTGACATTTTGAGGTATTCCATCATGTAATTCGATATCCATTTTTCGGTGATTTCTTAATGAACCTTTATTTTAATTATCAAATTGTAAAACAATTCCCGAAGTTCATGCAATATTCAGAACACTTCAGATCATTTGATTGAAATATATTCTGAATATTCCAGCTTTATCCGACTTTATTCTATTGATATGCTGAAAATATAAAATTAAAAAAAAATCCTAATTCCATCGTATCTATTTTTTTTTTATCATAGACATTTGGTTAATGTTTAATTGTACATATCTTCATATTCATCGTAAAAGTATTCTTTTCAATTACACATGGCCACCAACATCTTCATCAAAAAATTTAACACGTTCATTTCGTGTTAAATTTACTAATGATAAAGATCTTAATCAATGTTTAAAATTATTACGTGATTATTTTCCAATAAATATCTATTCACCAAATGATTTTAATATTTGTATTGAAACAATACAACCAACAATGTTTCATTCGTTATTTTTTAATGAAACAAAAGATATATTAGCATTAGAACAATCAACAACAATGAATATTCGAACAGATTTTATTCGTCAATATCTTTCAACATGTATTATGGATCCAACTTTTTTTATTTTTGTTAATAAAAATGAACAATATTTGAAAAAACTTTTAATGGATAAATAGATTTGTACAGATTGATTTTTGTTAGAAAAGAAATAAAATGAACAATTTAGATTTATAATTAAAACTTAAAAGACTATACTAACGAATCAATGATATTTTCATTATCGATCTTTGAATTCGAACAGAATTATTTTGCATATGTGAAAATGACAATATCCAATTAATATTATAAAATCATTTAAAAAGCATATTCTTTATAGAACATTAAACTTGCTATGAAGCAACAAAATAGATATAGGATAATTTATTGAAAAATCAAACATAATGAAAATAAATCGAAACTATCTAAATATTTCAATGCTATATGGGTCTACATCGAATGAAACAATCAATTATTTTTGTTAGAACAAGTTGGACTTGTCTCTCTCTCTCTGAAAGAAATGATAGAAAGCAGGAAATAGTCTAACCTATTTAATTTGATACGTTATCGTTTCAATGTAGCAATCTGGATCCTTTCTTTTTAAAAGTATATTTTTTAACATTGTTCTCTTTTCTAAACTAAATAAATGTTGTGCTGCTGAATGTATGTCAATTTGCTATCTTGTCAGACATTTTTTTATTCTTTTCTCACAAGTTTTAACTCTTATTGCTCAAATACGGTTGTTCTATACCATCAGATAAAAAAATCAAAATTTTTTTTTGAATTTAAAATTGTTTAAGAACAGTAATAGTTGCTTTTCAGTTTTATTTCGATCACTTACGGAATAACATCAAAGTGAATGTTGTCAAAGGTATTATTACACTATTAGAAATATTTCCAGAAAGAAAAAAAAACAATTCATTTCATTTTTCTATCGTATGTCACATTGCTATTATGAAAGTACAGTCATTATTAGAGAAAGAAGACTGTCTTATTCACAAGACAGCAATGCTGTCCCAAATAACAACTTTATATATTTGTGTTAAGAAAAATTGAACGATACAAAAAATAGTTTTTGAAGTGCTTGAATTTCAAGTTTGTCAAATCAGATATAGTTTAGTAAACTATTCCAAAATGACTGAAAAAGTATTACTTCGAACGCGCTCATAAGCAAAATTACAGTCATCTCTAGGAAGTTGTAAAGTAGCATACATCGTCGACTATTCGTTTCTAAAACAAATTTTTTTTTCTTATTCTGCTTGATCGAATGGATTTAGATGAAATTAAAAGATTTTTTTAACTTGCGGTCTGATGAAGGACAATGTGTTGTGCATGCATTGGCAACACTAACCGTCTCCTGATTGCTCTTACTCTCTTCTTGTTGATTCAACTGTTCTGCTCATAGCCACGTGGCAAACTGGTTTATTCTATTCATCTTTTAAAGAAAGAAAGTTTCAGCTGTTGACACAAAGTATTTTTATTTCTCATTTTTGAAAAACAAATATTGACTAGCAAACATCGGCAAGCATTGTTATGAACTCTTGATCGCCTCCCAATTACTATTGTTACAGTTAGTTTTGTATTCGTTCTCTTTACATTCTGATAATGAACTTTTGTTGATAGAATTTCAACGATTTTTAACAGTTATCAGAAGAAGCATGGTAATCAGTCCAAAGAGATTGCTCGGTAAGTTTCTATCAAGATGTGAGAATCAAAAGTGCTCCATTGGAGTCTGTTGCTAGATAGATTTCATCTTATGTAGGGATGTCAATTTATATTTACAATCAATTTAATTCATCGGTAAATTAAATTATCAGTAATTTAAGTGTATTTCAAACATAAATTGTTTTTTTATTATTTATGTTTAAAAATAAATATAAGCTACGGTTATTTATATTCACTTTAAATTTAAATGATGGCAACTTATATATATTTTTAAATATCACTTCTAAAACAACATCTTGTATTTGAAAGTAAACAAATTATTGGCACTTACGTCAGACGAACACGAGAAAACAACATGTAAAAGCATATTGAACTTGTAACGAAAACAAAATTGTACAAAGTGCACATGTAAAAACGTTCGTAACGCATTATTAGTCCAAACGGATATATATATATATATATGTTCGGAAACTTTAATACGTTGTGAACAAGTAAAAATGTATATTTTGTGCGATTTTATTTTCATTAAAACTTCAATGTATTTTTACGCGTTTTTTCTCGTGTTCGTCTGACTAAGATGAAATATGGAAAAGAAATAGAATAATTTAATATAATTTATAATGTAACTTATTGTTTATTAAATTATAAACTAAGCGTAAATAATTTATATTAAAAATAAAAATAAATCATGATAATTTATATTTATTTTAAATTAACAGGAAAATGGTACCTCTAATCATCTGCAAGTAATCAAATCTCTCTTGTTTGTCGTTCTGCTTTCTTCTTTATCCTGTTCATGCTAGACTTTGCACATACACTACCATAAGGTTGAGAAAACTTCGCAGTTGTCAATTGGAGGAGAAAAAAAAAGTATGTCGATACTTCATCAACATCCAGCATGTTCTGCTGATTGTTCTACGTCTAGAACCATCTATAGAAAAAAAATTTCAAGTATAGCGGTTGAACTGATCAGGAGTTAATGTCACCGAACAGAATAGATGGCTTAACCAAAGGACTCATTGTGATCTACATGAACCCAAATTATGGGCCTAAAATCATGAAAAATAGCACGGCGTGGCCACGCGTGATGGAATTTAATTTTTTCAGATTGCAACCTGTATAACTGCTTAGTAATACAAGCAAACTGTCTGAAATTATTATCATAAATACAGCTCACTTAGATCTATTCTCAGTAAAAATTTCACAAATTTCTCTTCAACCGCAGCAGAGTTATTCAAAAAATAGTGACCGTTACGGAATTTCTAAAAATGGAAATTTTTTTTAGGGAGGCTATAAGTTAAGCATTTTTATACGAAAGAACGAAGTATTCAAATGAAGGTTATATTCAAAAGTTGTTTAGCTTTTAACAAGCTATTAGAATATCAGATCATTTCTGATTCGTCTTAGCTTCATCAAATAAAAACCTTGAAATATCGCTCGTTACGGAATTTCATCTTTATTTGTAGTTCTACAGGGAAAGATTTCAGAAATTGTCATTTCAACCTGTTACGATAAAACTGATCTTTTTTCTAATACATGAGTAGTACACAGATAATTTCATCTTTCCAGTATGTTAGTTTTATTCTCGCAATGGAATCTCATAAGAATTTCTGTCTAATTTTCAGACAAAAATGCAATGTGAAAAAGTGACAAGTTACGCTTTTTTTTTATGAAATTAGTCAATAAATCTCTTTTTCAACACCTGTCGAACCAAAAATTGAAGTTTATATCACTCTTATAGCTTGCAACAGGTTTGGTAAGCTGTTGATAGGACATTTTCGACTCTCGAGACATTATTCCTCGCTTTT